AGTTTAGAGAGCACACAAGATGCGTAAGAGTTGCTCGAGGCGTAGGAACCAATTGTTTTATAACATTTTCAACGCTGTAGTTTATGTATAAAGAGCAGAAATTCCCTCTCCTACACTTCAATGCATTGTTTATTTTGTTTTGGAAAAGTATTTTGCCATGCTTCAATGATCTTGTCTCAAATTGGTCAAAAACTGACAGGTGAATTCATGTGTGGAAATGAAGTTAAAGTTTCGAAACGAGGTGAAACCGTGATTGTTTTGTTTTCCCTTTCTCAGGAGTTAAATAATCCATTCCCAAAGAAAAACTAGGCAGATCTTCATCGGCTTGTTCGCTTGTTGCCATGTCTAGTTTAACTTTTTTGCAGAAGTTTTTCCCATTTTTTAATGAAAAATGCTGAAGTCACTCGCAAGAAAAAAATTTTTTCATGGGGCATTTGTTTACTGACATCACCAGCGTGCACAATGGAAAATTGAAGCACACTCGCGCTATTGATTTGATTGCACGAATTTACAAGCTATGTTATAATACAGATTATGGAAAAGGGAAATGAGAAGTGATTCACAAATACATGTAAAATCCAATCAACTACCAATAACTGCTATACTGTGCTTACAAATTAATGAGTTGCAGTATTTAAAGAAGTTTAATTAGGTTTAACCAGGATTAAAAAAAACACTTAAATCAAGTTAAATCAGTAAAATAATGACACCAGAAGGAAACAACACACGTATAGAATAAGGTAAGCCATTTTTATTTATTATTTTCACTTTTAACTATCTCCATGGATATCTTGTAGAAAATCCCATACAAATCCTTATAAATCAATATGCTAATTGTGTTCCTTGTGTGGTTCTCAAAGAGAGCTTGGGCCGCCTGTGGGCCTTCAGGTCCATAGCCCCCACCCTCCCCCCCACTACTTTCCCTATTTTTTACACCCAGTTATTATCTATAACTCTACAGTCAACTCCCAGCTTTTGAACCCTCTCTTAAGCGGATAGTTCTACTTGTGGACACTCTTTTTCAAATCCCATTTAGCCTCCAAGTCAAACTCTGTATTTACTCATTCCCATAAACGGCCACTATCACATAAGCAGACGTGCATACTCTTTAATCTTGTAGGCAGGGGTGGACACTTTTAAAGTAAAAATTTGATTTTTCTTTTGTTATACTCTCTGTTAAGCAGATATCCTCTGCATAGTAATTGACTCTTGGTCTCTTGGCAATGAAATTTGTGTTGAATTTGTAAATCCACAAAATTATGATTTATGACAGAACACTACAGAATAGTGGGGATTGCTCTTGTCAAATCTCCATTTGTCCCTAGAAGGAAGCTGTCCAGTCGTTTGACATTAACAAGAGTCCAACAGAACACTTTCCTGTGAGCAGGCATCTACCCTATTTTTCTTTGGTGTTGGCTTCTGGGAATAATTGCCACAGGCAGATAGTTCTTCCAATTCCTAAGGTTGTCCACTCGCAATAGAGTAGACTGTGTATATTATATTGACATTTCCCCATTTGATGAAGTAGGATGGAGTGGGCCAGAGTAGAGTACAGACCAACTGAGACTTGGGTTGCATTGATGGAGTCATGCAGAAGTCCTTCTATGTTAAAGATCTTAATTTTGATTCCTTTTACTTTCCACAATATGCTTCCTCTCAAGGTAAAAGGTTATATCAACTAAGTTGAAATAGTAAATTGGCTACCATAACAAGTTAAAAAGCTGACATTTGGAGCATTAGCCCTTCATCAGAGTGAATGGAGGAATTATGATTTGGTAAACTCAAGTGTCTAGCGACTGGTTTTGATGCATCCTAGTCATTCCTTTAGTTCCCAGACACTAGACACTTTAATTTACCTAATCATGCTAAGCAACATATGGCAATTTGCAGTCTTTCCTTACATTTAGGTAGCTTGGATAGCTGCAAAACTCTTGAACAAAAGTTTATCTTTCAAATCAAAACTCTTAATCCCATAAGTATCAAGGAACACTTTTTATTCTACTAAGTTATTCATGTTTTTCTCTTCACCATGTTCCCACCAATAGTGTGAAGTGAAGTGAAGTGAAGTGAAAACCTTTATTTAACTTTGAATTACAGATAGCAAACAACTATGCTAATATCTTCGAAGATAAGAAATAAAATTTAAATAGACCAAACATTTATGTGTAGAAATAAGATATTACAATTTTTAAGCTAAATTACAGAAAGAACAACAATCACAATTCAATTCAATTCATGTAACCCACACACAACCCACAATATTCCTCCTTTCGCTCTGATGAAGGGCTAATGCTCGAAACGTCAGCTTTTCAACTCGTTACAGTGGCCAATTTACTATTTAAACTTAGTTGATATGACCTATTACGTTGTTACCCCCACCAATGTAGCACCACCGTGTCTTTAGAAATTTTCACCCTTAATTCACTTCCTCTCAAGTTAGCTATGGAATTTCATTTTGAACTAAATCATAATATAATTATTGATTCTCATCAAGATCTGATTGTTAATTCTCCACTCTAGATGCTACACATATCATAATAAGTTACAGGAAATTGATATAAGATCAAGATAGCAATTCCCTCTTGATGAGTTTGAGTATTCTCATGACTCATTTCTTGGATAGTGCATGGATATTTAGTATGAGAAGAAGTTACATGAAACTGCATATGCACATAAAGACAGCAGAGTGACAATAACTCTCAGTAAAGAAACAACAACCTTAAATTTAAATTTACAAGACATGTTTCGACATTCTCATGTCATCTTCAGTTGCATATGAGCTTTTAACGGTTGTACATTTGACTCGTAATTTGTAATGTACCTTAAAATAAATTCAAATGTACAACCGTTAAATATATCTTATTAACCAAGCACAAGGGCCGTACTGGGAGAATATCGGCCCCAGGTCTTGACAGTACATACAAAAAAGACCGAGGGCCGATATTCTTCCAGTACGGTCCCGAACAAGCTTGGTTAATAAGAGATTTATTATACAACTGAAGTTCAAAGGGACACAAGTGTGGTATCATTCGGGACCATTCGGGACAGTGCCCGGTCCAATACTTAGAGAATGTTGGACCGGCAATAGAGCATTTTGATTGGTTGATTTTAGTTATTGGCCCTCTGACTTTCCGAGTCGTGTAATAAAAGCTCATACGCAACTGAAGATGGCATGAGAATGTCAAAACATGTCTTGTAAATTAAGGTACGTTACAAATTACAAGTCAAATGTACAACCATTAAAAGCTCATATGCACCTGAAGATGACTTGGGAATGTCAAAACATGTCTTGTAAATTTAAATTTAAAATTGTCGTTTCTTTACTGAGAGAAACTGCATAGATAATTACTGTGTTGGGTTTATAAATTTGTTTTCCTGCACAGATACTTCAGGCTGATGGTTCAAACCAAAGTGCTTGCATCAATGCAGCTACCTTAGCTCTTATTGATGCTGGAATTCCGATGAAGGATTACATCAGTGCTTGCACAGTTAGTTTTGTCAATGACACCCCACTGATGGACATTAACTACTTAGAAGAAAGCTTTGGAGGGCCACAACTT